TGCAATTTCATTATCTTTTCGTTTTGTATTCGAATTGGCCATTTCATTTTCTGAAATATCGTCAATATTCTCATCATCAACCAAATCTGGATCAGGTAAAATATCGTTATCATCTAATGTATCTAAGCAGGTTTCGTCTAAATGAGGTTCGTCTAAATGAGGTTCATCTGAATGAGGTTCAACTGAATAAGGATCTATAGCTACGTTTTTGGCAACTTGTATATTTGATTCTATCTGAGAACTGCTTGGACCGCTTGAGACATTTGGGCTACTTGCGACACTTGAGGTACTTGGAGTACTTGAGTCACTTGGAATACTTGAGACACTTGGGGTACTTAAAGAGCCTGAAATGTTTCTTTGTTCCTCATTGAGTTCAAGAGAAGGCAAGACATGCTTTGCGCCTTTACGATTTGATGCAGATGTTCTTTTCTTCGTACGACCCATTTTTGTGTCTGTAGCATAGATTAATAAATAGGAGCTTTCAATCTAAGGCATTGCATTCGCTTTTTTATATGATCAGTCATGACAATATCCAAACACACTTTTTTACCTTGGCACTTGTTTTCTTTATTTTCGTAGAGAATATTAACGATATTAGTGTCAAAGTGTTAACAGTCAAAAAGACTAATTGAACTTCTTTATTTAGTTTCGCTTTATATACACATGATTCCAACAATAACATACTTTTGTGCAACACCTTAACTATTTCTTTCTTTGTAATTAATTTATTAAACTTTTTAATTTCTCATTATCATTATGCATTCAGCGATCACAGTACCCATTGTACCCGATCTTACTTATGTCCAACACTACTGCACTATGATTTCCCACCACGACCCGATCACATGATCACGTGAGTCGTTTGATACATATTTTTGTTTTACCTCTACACTCTTCATCTCATTAAACACTTCGCTATCAATTTGCATACCTTTTACAAGTACACAAACTATGCTACAAATTTTTCTTTTTATATAGCTTTTACTATATTTTACTACAACTCAGTAATTATTATATTTGATGCATCATA